CAAATGGGATGTCGGGCGGTCCCGAAATCGTAGTACCCTGGTTCGAGTCCTGTCTGTGGTCCGACTTTTTTTTCCTTTTTTTTTTCAAGTTCCCTTCTTTTGTGAGAAAATCTATTATTTCGAGCCTTTTTTAGTATTTTTTTAAAAACAAGAAAATTTAAATTAAACTAATTGCACTCATTATTTTTTATTCAAATAACAAGTTCAGTTTTTTTCTATTATGTCGGTAAGATCAAAAAAATATTCTTCATATTTCATCAGTATGTAATTTGTATCTAAATATAATTTACAAAACACGATTTTCAGAATAAAAAAAACCGAATAAAGCTCGGTCATCCAGGTGCTATATATTTATGATGGATTTTGTAAAAATTAAACGAGAAATTGAAAATTGCATTATGAATTTTATATTCCAATTTTAAGAATATTTTTTTCGTCTGTGCCTCAAATCTGCAAAACGCTGTCCGCCATATTAGTACATGTCGTGACGTAATTGATCCAACCTAAGGGTATTAGTGTTTGCACAAAAGAACAGCAATTAAACTTTTAAGATATCATTACGATTACTGGGTTTTAATGTGAATTTTATTGAAAAGGCGTCATGGAAGACGAATTCGTAAAAGCAGAAACTACTAATCTACCAAGGATAAATAAATTGATGGTGGTAAATTTTTTGCATGCAACCCCTCATTTTTGTTCTGCTGAGTTGAGGAATGTTAAAACATCAATGTAAGTGCCTTTTACTAACTTTTTTTATACAAAAACACAATACCAGGACAGAATGTATTTTGATAAAACATAGTTTAGTAGCTATCATAGTTTAGTTTATCTATAATTACAATCATTAGCAATCATTAGTTATAATATCTAAGTTAACGTAATTTATTACAAAATCTGACTTGCGATACCCTTCATCTCATGATAATTTGTTTTGTATTAAACGATAGTTAAATATAAGTCATACTTAGATCAAAATGATCGTCACAGAAGAATAGTCTGGTTTTGTAGACAATGTATCGGGTATCTTATTGCCAGTTTTAACTAAGTATTTCTTATATTTAAACCAGTTGGCACTTGAATACATAACTTTCCCGGAATTATTATGCTCGTATTTTTGTATTCAGGCACTACACAACAAAAATATAGATGATAAAATTATGAAACATTAAAAAGTATGTTATTGCATTGCAAAATCGGAAAAATCGAGGACAGTGACGTCACGAGTTGAACATCATAGCGGCTAGCGCTTTCACGCAAAAATCTAAAACGATAGATTAAAAGTAATTTTTATGGCATTATTCGATTTTAAAAATATAAAAAAAAAATTATAGAGGTTCATTATCACTCTAGGATTAATTTAAAACAATTTTTGAAAATGGGTGTAATACCCTATTGCACCATTTTTACGTATCAAAATTCTTATCAAACTATTATTTACAAACGCGATTCAAATAAGAATAGGACTGACCTGGTGCCGAATTGTGACGTCATGGCTGTCAGTTCAAACCAGTTAGAGTGAGCAAAACTGATATATTTGAAATAATATTTATTTACAAAAGAACTATGAACAAAAAAGTATTAATCTGTATCTAGCATTTTAAATTCGCTTATATCTGCATCCCTGTCTGAGTAGTCATTGTCATCATTATCATCACTGCTGCTTCCCTTATAAAAATAGAACATGGATTTATGTAGCTATTTCAAATATTCCACCGAATATTTAAAACTAATTTATAAAAATATTTATGTAATCAATAGATTTGGTAATACTAAGATTCAGTTAAATAAAGCGAAAAAAAATTTATTTTTTTGCAGGCTGTTTTTTTTTTCAAGTGACAGTTGACAGAGGCCCTGCCGTTTTTAAGGTGCTGAAGAGATTAGAATGGCTCTCCAGCACCTTAAAAACGGCAGGGCCTCAGGCGAGGATGGACTTACAGCGGAGTTTCTGAAAGCGGGTGGAACTTCAAGTCCTTCAGAAGCTCTTCAATTCCGTCCTCCATGGTGGTACTACTTCGGAGGCGTGGAGCAGAAGTGCGGTGGTCTTGTTCTTTAAGAAAAGCGACAACGCTCTCTTGAAGAACTACAGACCGATTTCCCTTCTAAGCCTCGTCTACGTGCTGTTTTCGAGAGTCATTACGAATCGTCTCGCACGCAGACTCGACGACTTCCAGCCTCCCGAATAAGCCGGTTTCCGAAAAGGCTTCAGTACCATAGACCACATACATACACTGCGGCAGATTGTACAGAAGTCCGAAGAGTACAATCTGCCACTTTGCCTGGCATATGTGGACTATGAGAAAGCCTTTGATTCCGTCGAAATTTGGGCGGTGCTACAGTCCCTTCAGCGGTGCCAAGTTGACTGTCGGTATATCGAAGTGCTGAAGTGTTTGTACAGTAGGGCTACGATGGCTATCCGAGTACAGAACCAGAGTTCGAAACCTATCCAACTGCAGAGAGGTGTAAGACAGGGTGACGTTATATCCCCGAAACTCTTCACCGCTGCATTGGAAGACGTTTTCAAGCTACTGAACTGGAAAGGATACGGTATTAACATCAATGGCGAGTACACCACTCACCTTCGATTTGCCGACGATATAGTCCTTATGGCAGAATCTCTGGAGGACCTAATCACTATGCTCAATGACGTCAATGGTGGGTAGGTGGTTAGGACCCAACGCTATCCGTTGGGTCTTAAGATGAACATGGACAAACAAAGATCATGTTTAATGTCCATGTCACACCTATGCCGATAGTTGTTGGGAGCACTACGCTCGAAGTTGTTGACGAGTACGTTTACCTGGGACAAATAGTCCGACTAGGTAAGTCCAACTTCGACCGAGAGGTCAATCGACGGATTCAACTCGGCTGGGCAGCGTTCGGGAAATTACGACACTTCTTCTCGTCAGGTATACCTCAAACTCTGAAAACTAGATTGTACAACCATTGCGTGTTGCCAGTGATGACTTACGGATCTGAGACGTGGTCCTTCACTCCTGGCCGTAGGAAAGGAGATCGCTATGCTCGGAGTTTCACTGCGTGATAGACTCAGAAATGAGGATATCCGCAGTAAAACCAGAGTGACCGACATAGCCCAACGGATTAGTAAGCTGAAGTGGCAATGGGCCGGCCATATAGCTCGAAGAACCGATAACCGATGGGGAAGAAAGGTTCTCGAGTGGCAGCCTCATACCGATAGGCGTAGTGTAGGGCAACCCCCCACTAGATGGAGTGACGACGTGGTAAGAAATGCAGGAAATCGATGGATGCAGGTGGCTCAAGACCGTGCTTTGTGGTATTACTTGGGGGAGGGGCCTATGTTCAGCAGTGGACTTGTGAAGGGCTGTAATGATGATGATGATGTGTTGACAGATCAGGGTCTTTTGAGTTCATTGTAATTCCTTTTTTTTAGAATCGCATTGTAAACGTCAATTAACCACTTCAATTGTCTACTTATTGACAATCTTATCGCCTTTCAAGAACTGTAACTCAAACATAAAAAAACAGTCGTCAGAAATATAAATGTTGATACAAGTGCCGCGCGCCAAGATGACGTTAAGGCACTCGGTACAAAGCCGTTTTTAGTTATAACGGGCGCGGTAACGGAAAGGTTAATGAGCAACAATCCGCCGGCGGTCAAATTCTCACCAAAAATTTCCAAGTCCATTTCAAATGCCAATTAAGGCAGGCTTACAATGAAAAGTTTTCAAATATTTTGACTTCAGTTTAATGCAGCGAAAAGTTGATGACGATAATACTTTGAGCCGTCCACTAATCACACATAAATATTAATACTTACTTAATTAATATTGTTTTCACAACGCTGATCCCTAAGATACAGACTTGTCTTGTTTGGGATCAGCAGAGTCTTCACTTTTTTATTGTACTTTTATTTAAATAAAGTAATATTATAATTATTATTAATCACTAACAGTTCAAATGCGAAATCAGTCAAGAACACAAAATCAAACCAGTTATAGATATCAAAATCCACTTAAAAAATAATTTAAGCCATATTATAGGACCAAAAATCCGCCGACGGTCAAGTTCTCTACAAGACTCCAAGGCTTACAGTCATAGGCAATATGATAGTTTTTAAAACTCAACAAACTTGAACAATCACTTGAAAAATATTTGTTCCGTTTTCAAATTCAACAGCAACATTTTAAATTTGCCTACTGTCTAGCTCATAGCAGAGATGCATTCGAATACAATTTTATCGTATTTATTATGCACTTTTATGTAAATCAGTGTAACAATGCAGTTCCTCAAATGAGTACTTACTAGTTACAAAATAAATAATCAAAGCTGTCTCATTTTTTTATGGAATATGGGTGACAAACGAGCACACAGTCCACCTGATGGTAAGTGAATGCTGTGGCCCATAGACATCTACATTTATCTTTGATTAAAAATCAAAACGCAAATGCGTTATCACCCCTGAGGTTTAAGATGGAATGCCTCGTTTCCAGTAAAAAAGGGTCTCCGGATCTCTTCAGTCACCGTACGAAACACAGCATTATTAAGCTGCTATTTTACGCTGGTATTCTGTGAGAGCATGGTCCTTCCCCAGTCAGTCGACTCATTCGTGCTACAACTATAATTTAGCTATCTGCAGCATGGCTCTACCACGTCTAAAACGATAATGTCGATATTTTTAGAAGGACGTAATAAATCGATAGTATTATCTAGTTATGTGTTCACATCCTATGGTAATTAAAACAAAAATAATCCTATTGTTTATTACTAAATTTTTTAATATTAAAACGAATTATTCCTATGAAAATATTAGGTACATACTATAATACAACTCAGTAAATAACAATTAATTGTCCAGAACCAGGGCTTTTGACACCCTAATCGGTATTTTTTCTTATCTACAATGTATCAATCAAATTTTTTGATTTTAAAGAACTCTTAATTGGTTTTGTGTAGAATGTGAAATAAATTGTTTTCACTGTATATATTTAAAAAGGTAAATTGAAGAAAATTTCTTTTTCCAGAAAAATGATTTATAATATCGAGTGGCACCCTCAGCAAACTTCAGAATCTAATGACAAATCTCCATACAGAAATCTAGTAGCAGTGACATCACTAGACAAGCAAAACACCATTACCATTTTAGAGTATGGAGTAAAAGAAGGTATTCATTTTATGTACAATAATATCACAGTTTAGTTCACATTGAAAATAATATATAATTGTTGTTATAGATATAACGAGAGTTATGCAGGGTTATTTTACTGTTTTAATATATACAATATGTAACGTAATTAACGCACACCCTCAGACACCCCAATTAGTATATTATGTTATAATCATAATACATACACTGAATTTTTAGTTAAAAATTTTTATGCACTGATGATTTATCGAATTAGTTATACTAATTCCGGACGAATGTTGTGGTCACAGTACAAATCCACGAACGCAAAGACTTTAACGTGCTTGAAATAAAGTTAATTTTTCTTTATTTTATTGAATGACAGAATTAGTAATAATGCAAATTAAAACTGCAATCTTAAAAGTCTTATTGCCTTAAGTTACGATCCATTTCAGTTTGTTTTGACTGTACAGATTTAGTGTGACTGTAATTTACGTAGTTTTAATTATTTTTGGGATAAAAAATTGCCTATATTAAAAATGATAGGAATCGATTCAGTAAACGATTCTGAACAAACTACTTTCTCAAAGTGCGTTAATTATGTTACATGTTGTGTATATATATATTGAATAAGGCTTCTTCTTTTATTTGAAATTATCGTTATATACTCGTAATTTGAAAAACTACAATAACGGTATATCATCGTTTATATATTTAAACTGAATTTAAAAAAAGATACTCCTTAAAAATAATCCTGTATGGTTTAAAATTATCAACCGATGGGGAAGAAATGTGAATGTGAAGAATGACAGTTTCGTTCCGGTAAGAGTAAGCACTTATGTTTTGTGCCATTCCTTGGGAACGACTATGTTCAGCAGTCGACTTGTGAAAAGCTGCAGTGATGATGTGTACATGTATAATTTGTTCAACTTTTGACCTTTCACCTTTTTTATTGTTTTACTTTTGACCTTATAGCTCGCGCGATCTAACTTGGCCGGGCTGAAGTTAGTCAACAACACTACAAAACAAAATGGTAACAAGAGGTGTGGGAAGGTGGGCAATAGCTAAAACTAGAGATGCGAACACGCATATTGCGTGGTTACAATTACCACAGATTAAAAATGTTACATAGAATCGATTACCGTTATTATCGGTTACGATTCAATTTTATTTTATATTTTATTGAAGTGAAAACTTTTTATAATCATTAATCGAAATAAAAAATATCTAATTTATTAAATAAATAAGATTAACAATATTGAATAAAATTGTCTTAATCAATCCATTCATAACAATCCACGATTTTCAAACTTACCCATTTATATTAATTAGTAGTATTTGGCGACCACCTTGAACCAATCAATTTTTGTTCGATAAATGACTTGACTTTACGTTACGCTATTACAAAGCAATTTTTCTTGCAATTTACTAAAGGTTTCACTTCTATGGCGTGTAAACTTCAAACATGTTTTTTATTGTTCATTGGTGTGTAAATTTATCATATTGTTTTAAACCATTATCATCATCATCATTACAGCCCTTCACAAGTTCACTGCTGAACATAGGCCTCCCCCAAGTAATGCCACAAAGCACAGTCCTGAGCCACCTGCATCCATCGACTTCCTGCATTTCTTACCAGGTCGTCACTCCATCTAGTGGGGGGTCGCCCTACACTACGCCTACCGGTACCAGGCTGACACTCGAGAACCTTTCTTCCCCATCGGTTGTCGGTTCTTCGAGCTGTATGGCCGGCCCATTGCCACTTCAGCTTACTAATCCGTTGGGCTATGTCGGTCACTCTAGTTCTACTGCGGATATCCTCATTTCTAAGTTTATCACGCAGAGAAACTCCGAGCATAGCCCTCTCCATAGCTCGCTGAGCGACTTTGAGCGTCCTCAAAGCTTGGGCTACGATGGCTATCCGAGTACAGAACCAGAGTACGAAACCTATCCAACTGCAGAGAGGTGTAAGTTAGGGTAACGTTATTTCCCCAAAACTCTTCACCGCTGCTTTGGAAGACGTTTTCAAGCTACTGGACTGAAAAGGATACAGTATTAACATCAATGGCGAATACATCACTCACCTTCGATTTGTCGACGATATTGTCCTTATGGCAGAATCGCTGGAGGACTTAAGCACTACGCTCAATGACCTCAATAATGCCTCCCAATGGATAGGTCTTAAGATGAACATGGACAAAACAAAGATCATGTTTAATGTCCATGTCACACCTATGCCGGTAGTTGTTGGGAGCACTAAGCTTCGAAGTTGTTGACGAGTACGTTTACCTGGGACAAATAGTCCGACTAGGTAAGTCCAACTTCGACCGAGAGGTCAATCGACGGATTCAACTCGGCTGGGCAGCGTTCGGGAAATACGACGCATCTTCTCGTCAGGTATACCTCAAAACCTGAAACTAAGTTGTACAACCAGTGCGTGTTGCCAGTGATGACCTACGGAACCGAGACTTGGTCCTTCACTGCTGGCCGTATGAGGACGCTCAAAAAAAATACAATACTATACAGGGTCATTTTTCAAAGGGTGGCCAAATTTTAAACTTACTTTCAAATATGCTGGATGATTTTCTTATCGTTGGAAAAAAATTAGGTTTAATAGGATTTTTACATTCACATAATGTTATGAAATTGATCTATGAATAAATACCACTAATTTGAAATAAACTTTCGGTACTAAAAAAATTTTAACCAAATACTAAGGTTTTTGCAAAATAACCCTGTTTATATTCTATATCCAATATAACTTTTTTTAATATTTCAACCTTAATTGCTTAACTTATTCATAATTATATACTTATGTTAATGAAATGAAAATATTTAGCTTGAATTATCTTAGTTACATGTTCTGTAGGATCAATAAATACCGATGTCGATAACTTTTGAAGCTAAATGCACTACGCTTCAATATTGTAATACCTAGGCCACTCACGTCGCGATAAAATTTCGGCGATAATATACGGCGAAGGTGCCAGGCCACACTGCGCGTTGTGAAGTTTATCACGATAAACATACAAAAATGAACGCCGTGGTCGCTCTATATTATATGGCAGCGAATAATTATTTTTACTAGGTTTTTGGCAACAGGGGACAGCTTTCGACGCCTGAATTATTTATTCAAAATGTTTCAAAAATGATTTATCTTCTCATTACTTCAAAAAATTATTACTGTCGTAAATACGTCGTAAACCCTAATTTAATTTCGCACGTGAGCTAGGCACGATGTGAAGTGTAGCCACACAAGCGAGGTTCATCGTAATAAAACGCTTTGCTGTGCCAGAGTTTACCGATAACGAAGCTATGTGCTTGCGACTTCGCACGAAGTGACGAAGTAGATATTCATGAACATGTGTTATCGCGATATGTGTGGCCGCGGCATAAAGAAAAAACAACGTCCATGAAGTATTACATATATCTGTGGTCTATAGTTGCCTGTCAATAATTATGGAACATCATGGTTGTGCATATGTCAAAGGTGTCTAAAGTAAAAAAAAAAATGGTTGGTCAAAGTGTAATTTAACTAATAACTATTTGAGTGTGAGAAGAAAATGAAACACATTAGTAACAATTGAAACTTTTCAGATGGTACAAAACAGCTCCAGTTATGGAAAACATTAAGTGGTCACAAAAGCGCTGTATATCAAGTGGCTTGGAACCCACACCGGGATGAACTCATACTATCCAGTTCCCAAGACTCCACTGTTCGGGTTCGTATTGTTCAAATAATTTTCTCATAAGCTTATATTGAATAATCACCCTATGTAATCTCGTAGGTGACTGAAATGAGAAACGTAATTCCGCTGATCAATGTAAATAATAACTATTAACCCCTCAGCCACCGAATCCCGAGCGGGCGGTAAAGAAAAGTAGTCTCTAAATATAAGGTTTAAGGTGCTGTGGGTGGGTGCGGTCGCATGAAACCGCTCGGGGGCTGAGGGGTTAAATACATAAGAAATGGCGTGGACATCATTAGCTTACTTAGACTTTTGTGGCGGCGCTGTCAACGCGCCACAAGTGAAACACAACGAAGCCTAAATCAAACGCTATCAAAGTTCTGAATCAAAAACAGCATAATATAGAATAGCTCCGAACTATCAATCGGAGCGTTGGCCACACCCACCGCTAAACTGGTGACCCCGACGTGATCTGAACACGCAACAACAACCTTCGTGAATTTCAACTTCAAGCTTTATCATCGTCATAAAGTACCCCATCCATTTGCTCCCGAGCAAATATCGTCTGCCGTGTTCATATCCTGCAAGCCATCTAGCTTTACAAGGTTCATCGCAGCACTCAGATAATGCTTCCTGTTCCTTCAAGCTACTTTCTGCGCTACAGTGTTCGGCACGGCTCTGAGCCTTACTGCTCGCCTCTGCTTCACGGCACTCTCGCAGATTACTTGCCTTGTTCTCGACTCACCGCAGACTACAAGACAATCCCCTGGCACTTGCACATTTGTCGACAACTAGACTGTACCATCGACCTCCGGTCTGAGCAATGGGGTGATGTGGCGGCGTTGTCGTCGCGCCACAAGCGAAACACAACGAAGCCTAAATCGCGCAATCAAAGTTCCGAATCAAAAATACGAGGGTGGATTGAAAAGTACTCGGCCTAACCAAGAAAATAAACACATACTAAATCAGTTATATTTTTATTTTTCTACATAATCACCATCAAGTTCAATACACTTTTGCCACCTCCCCTTCCAAGCATTTAGACCGTTGAAAAAAAATGATTCTTCCTTAGAGTCAAAATATGCGTCTACAGCTGCTTTGACCTCGTCGTTTGTCGAAAATCTTTGACCTCCCAAGTGCTTTTTTAGGTTAGGGAACAGAAAGAAGTCTGATGGTGCCAGATCAGGTGAATGCGGCGGATGCGGTAACAGTTCAAAGCCACAGTTGTGAATTTCAGCCATTGACTGTACTGACGTGTGAACACGGGCGTTATCTTGATGAAACAGGACTTTTCTTCTGAGCATTCCTCGACGTTTTTCTTTTATTTCCTCTCGTAAACGACGTAGTAAGGTGCAGTAGTAATCAGAGTTTATAGTCTGACCCCTTTCAAGATAATCAATCATAATCACACCTTTCGAGTCCCACAATACTGAAGACATCACCTTATTTGCCGACAAAATCGACTTAGCCTTTTTAGGGGGTGGTGAACCAGGTCTTCTCCACTGTTTTGATTGTTGTTTTGTTTCCGGTGTACAGTAATGAACCCATGTTTCGTCCATAGTAACAAAACGATTCAAAAAATCATCTGCATCGGCTTCAAATAACTCCCAAACAGTCGCGTGAAATAGTCAATCGCGTCCTTTTTTGTTCAACTGAAAGCAGTCGCGAAACCCACCTCGCAGACACCTTGTGGAAACCCAACTCGTTGACAATGATGTTTTGAGTTCGTTCATAAGAGATGCCTATAATCTCGGCTATCTCTCTAATTTTTAATCTGCGGTCTCCCATTATTAAATCAAGTACTTTTTTTAATATTTTCGTCAGTAGTTGACGTCGAAGGCCTTCCAGAGCGGGGTTCATCTTTCACACTCTCTCTACCACGCTTAAATTCTGCTATCCATTTTTTGACGGATGAATATGACAGAGCACAATCGCCTAATGTACTGACCATGTCATCATGGATGGCTTTTGATGATAGCCCCTTCTTATGGAGGTACTTAATGACGGCACGCTGCTCGATTTGCTCCATTCGCGGAAATTATGTCCGATTACTTTGTTAATAAATTTATAAAATCACAACTAATTATCGCACACGTTTCGAACTTCACACAATGAACTAGTCTGAACTGAACTAAATAATGTGGGTAGATTTGATTTTTAGAATTGAATGGATCTGTGTTAGGCCGAGTACTTTTCAATCCACCCTCGTAGTATATATAGAATAGCTCCGGACTATCAATCGAAGCGTTGGCCGTCCACCGGGCAGAACACCTTGCCCGGCGGGAGATTTCCCCTTTTCCTTACACCGTCAAACATTTTTATTTACAATGTATAATGTATATATTTTGAAAGGTTAAATAGGAACTTTTGAAAAATAATAGTCTACTTGTAAGTTTCTTATAATTCTTTATATTTACGTGAATACTACACATTAAATGAAACAAATTTTACGAATTTTATCGCCTATGGTCATGACGTGAAGCATCACCGCTCCGGGAAGTCTGCAGTCTGTGAACATATTCAAGATCGTCAACGCCATTATATCAGATTTGATAGACCACAAATCCTAGCAAAAGAACACTGATTACTACCCCTCGGTAGGAATCGGTGTTTTTTAGAATGATTCGCGAGGCTATATATATAAAAACATCCTTTATTTCAATAGAGAAGATGGATGGGCGCTACCGTCTGTTTGGGGTCCTATAATTAATAAAATTAAATCACAACCCGAGCAAACAACTGCAAACATTCAAAATACGCATTCTGCGTAGATCGAGCCAAAAAGGGGGTCGCCCATTTTCGGCCATGGAACGCCCAACAATGTGAATTTGTTAAAAAATTATATCTTTATTTATGGTTATTAATCGCGGTATTCATTTATCCTCAAACAATGGGAATATTTTTGCACAAATTAAAAGTACCGGAAACATAATAATAAAAATTAGGTAAATCATTATGTCATTAGTTTGTGAATAAAAAAAAAGTGTTGCCAATCACAAAACACATTTAAAAAATCGATTCTCTTTTTCGATTGATTATTTACGGTGTCATCATTACAGTGCTAATATAATTTTTAAATAATTATGATGTTACGATAATTAAACAAGCGAATTACTAGCTGATTTCTAATGAATTCTTTAGAGAGTAACAAATGCTACGGCACAATTTAACTGTTAATCTTAACCGATCTTCTTTGAAAACAGATAAGAACTGTTATTCTTATCTGTTTTTAAAGAAGATCGGTTAAGTTATTCTTAACTTTTTATAAAAACAAATTTAAAATAGAATCATGTTATGATAACGAAACAAGTTAGTTTCCAGCTGATTTACCATGAATCCTTTAACCTTTTGAGCACCAAAGTCGCCTATACTTGACCAACACCTGCGGGCCCTGAGCGCCAACGACGTCTATAGTTGACAAAAAACCCGGCTCCGAAAAATATGAAATATAGATATTGGAAAATTATTACAGGTATTTTAATTCTACACTCCTCAAAATAGGAATAACCCAGCAACATGTGAGTATAAAAAACAAGTCTTCTAGAGCCACAAGTACTAAGAAACATTGAACTAATAAAAATGGATTTTTATCTAAGCAAATACTATGTCCAGCACGCCAAAGTCGTCTATGGTTGACCGCTAGTGTCAAACGCGGGAGGCATAGATTTCTTGAAAACTATCCAAAATTCAGCTCAATGGTGTTTTTTTTCTATTATTATTGATATTTGAATAAAAAAAATTAAAGGTTATAAACATAAAACTATAATTAGCTACATGAATAAAAAAATGTTATCAGATTATCTTCGCATAATAAATCTAATATCTCAACTCTAGCGCATCTTTAGCGCGTCATCGAAAATCAGTTCACTGAGCACCGTGATCAAGGATAGACGACACCCTGATGACGTCATAAGTGATTACCGAGAAAAGTAGAGCAATGCAACATGAACGATTCCTCAGAACTCATTCGGATTTTAGAAAGCGTCGATGATGATGAATTTTGATTTTTGATTGATGAATTGAATTTTTGATTGATTGGTGAACAAATATGTTTATTTATTCCATGACCAAGATTTTAGTATTATAAGGCTGATTTACCTAGTGCGAATAATTATATACAATTGTTGATTAATGAATAATTATGTACCTTTTTTTAATAATAATACAAAATTACAATTAATGTTTTTTTTACTTAGGGTGTGAAGAGCAATTTTTCATTTTGTGTTGTGCCATTTTCTTTCTCAGTCTCAAAATCATCTAGCAGCATCAGCATCATATCAAATCCCCATTGTCATAAGAGTGTAAGACTTTTCTTCTGTGCGTCACTTGGCCTACGCCTTCCCCGACACATAAAATATTATGAATCGATGTCTGTATATTTCGGTTAGATCGATTTTGAAATCGATACACAACATTCTAAGAATGTTTCAAAAGGGAAGGTCAGCTACGCCGTTGTCGTCCAGTCGCGACAGTGTCGTCATTAGGATGGAGAGTAGTGCTAATGTTTACTACTATTTTATTGTTATTGTTTGTTTTTATTTATGTTTATATGTACTAAGTACATATATAAAAAGAGTGGAAGACGGCACAAGATTAAATAAAACATACAGTTTATTAAGAGTCATTTATAGCATAAAAAACCAACAAAAACAAGTTATTTCACGTTATCGATATATCAACTCTTGGCAACACTATTTTGTTTTGGCGCTTTGGCGTACAGGACACGGTAATGCGTTTTTGGCGTGGCGCTCAAAAGGTTAAAGCTTAACAAAACGCAACTGCACAATTTTTATCAATTTCAAGACAAAAACAACCGTTGTTATCGGCTTGGTTGAAAACGTTAACAACCGCCTTCACATCTGTAGTTATGATAATTAAATAAGCGATTTAATAGCTGATTTACAATGAATTCTATGCAGTATAACATAACGCTACTGCACAATATAACTGTTATTCTTATCTTTTCTTAACAATACATTTAAAATGAAATCATGTTACGATAAATAAACAAGTGAATTTCTAGCTGATATACCATGAATTTTTTAGAGCTTCATAAAACACTA